GTGAATATTTTCAAAACAAAGCATAGCAGATGAGACTATGGTAGATTTTCTGGATGGTGAAGTCAGAATGAACAAACTGACTTGAGGAATTAATTGTGAGACACTTCTAGGATAGAAACATATAATCTCATTAAGTTAAAAATATATTGAAAACTTGATTTAATGAGAAAAAGGTGAAATAGCTTGGAAACTGGAGGTTGGTTTGACTTAATACTACTATTCCCTAAAATATTGATAATCACCGGTGACCAGAAATTTCACATTTAGCCCCATAGCTAAGTGAGTGAAGCCCTGGAAAGAACTGTTACCTAGATTACGTGCGACCTTCATAAAGTGCCCTTATTTTTCCTATTTTTATGTGTGGGGTACATATTGATAGGAAGAGAGGAACGTAGATTGAGTGTAGTTGTTAAAGAGTAAAATCTGGGGTCAGATGCATTGAGTTTTGAACAGAGCTGTGCTACCTACTAATTGTGTGTCCTTGGGCAACTTAACTTCCTTTTCTCTCAGATGCTTTAATTTCTTGTAATAGTGGCGTCAACTTCTTGGATTTCTGTGAGAATTAAATGAGTATCTGTATACAAAACAGATGCACAATAAGTATCTGGACACATGCAACTATGCAAACATGAGTTATTATGTTTGCAAGATGGTAATAAAAATGATTTGTTCTATGCCACTATATGATTTGTCATATAGCAGTAGGTAACTAGAATTGTTACATAAGCATCATTCTAGTGTGTTAGATTTGATATTTCTTTATCCAGCAGGATTAGGTTTGGTAGCCCTTTATGCAGAGGATTTCACTGATTGTCTTTTATTTCAGCACACATTTTGTATAGTTAGTTGTTAGCCTGTTGGTTGATCTGGCACCTCTTTAAAAAATTAGCCACTGTTTGACGTGTTTTTATTGTTGCTATGGTAGAGATTAGCCAAACAAGAATGATATGACTTCTCTAAAAAGTCTTAATTATCTGTCAGGTGGTTCTGTTGCTTTTTCCTACAGGATGTCCCTTTGAGCTCTTTGATGTACTGGCATTATAAAGCTTAAGAGTCTGCCATGCAAGTGCCTCAGGAACTTGATTCAGTGAATGCTGAACCACTTCTGTATTCCGTACACCACTGTTTAATATAACATGGACATGGGATCACTTGTCACTGATCATGAAGATTTAAGTTGATACATACACAAGTAAATATGCTCTGTACCTACAGAGAGTAAAACAAACACCAGAAAACATTTTTTGGCTTAGAGAATATTCACTGGCTAGTTTTTTATTCCAGTTTTGCACACTGACCCACAGTTAGAAGGGAGAGAAAAAGACCTGGATTTTCTCCTGGAGAGAAAAAGGAGGGCAGATAGTAGACCTGGGAAGTCACTGTTATTGTATGAAATTATGTCACCCTCATTGTATATATTTAGACGTTACTGTCAGTGAAGAGCTGTCCCTTTTCCTTGAAGCAGGTGCATTTCTGGAAATTCTGATATGTTGAAATCAATTGCTGTTGTACTTTATATGATTTTGGAATGTGAAAACCATTTATTTGTTTGCTACTATGTTGCCATATGTTATTTGGAAAGTAAGGACTATATAGAGCTCTGTTCTCATTCAGTGTACGTGGCATCGATCATTAGCCAGCTAACAAATCCTATAATAAATTTTACATTAAGTGATAAAATTCACTCATAGAAAACAAGTAGCTTGTACACGTGTGTGCAGATGTGTATATAATGCACATTACACATTATAATTCTGAGTATCATGTGTTTATGATTGAAAGTTTATGCCATAAATGTACAAAATGTACCATGGCACTAAAATTGATGATTATATAATTTTATTTACCCCTTGAGGGCTAGTTATTCTATTGATTCTACAGCAAATGTCTTTTGATTAAGATTATAGCAAGATATGTTTGACAGCAGTTTCTTTTATTAGAACCTATCACATATTTAAAGTCACCTGAGATTATATGTGTCTTGAGTTTAGTGAGATAAATCTATTAATATTTTGTTCCAAGGACTGTACCTGCAGTACTGTATAATTAGAAACTGTACACTTTCCCTTGTGATTTGAGCACACTGTGATGTTTAGTGCTTAGTCTATGTACTAGAGAAGCTTAGAATGAGGAATGCACATATTAATGTGCTTCGTATATACAGTAATTTACAATGAAAAGTTATCTGCATGCATTGAAATAGTTTAACAATTGAGATTGGTTCCCTAGCTGTAAATACTGTTACTTATGGTACTGTATTTACTTTAGTTGTGCCTGTGGATGATCCTGGGAAATCGTAGAAGGTAAAACTGTATTTCCAGGCTGGGGATTTAGTTCAGCAGCATAAGCGCCTGCCTTGCAAGCAGGCAGTTGTGAGTTCGATCCCTGGTACCGATAAAAACGAAAAAGACAAAAAAACAAAAACAACAACAACAAAAAAATTGTATTTCCAGGGAAAACCTGATTTCTTTTTTTAAAAAAAAAATCATAATTTTTCACTTTTACATAAACTAAAATATATATTGTGACCCTAACAGAGTGGAATGATACACAGCCAACAATGAAAAAATTTAATAAAACATTTGAAAGTGCAGTGATGTGCTAAATGGAACACAGACCCAACCAGGTTTCCATGATTTATCAGTTTTTAACTTCAAAGACTCTGGTTAGCTCGCATTTTAAAAACTAATGAGTTTATCACAGCCAGTGGGGAAAATGGTTAAAGTCTAGCAGCTGTAAATTGGTACAGAGCACTAAAAGGGACATTAGCCTCTAATCAGATTCTAACAGTTCATTAAACCTGCCTGTCCAGAATTGCTCTTTGTCTTTTTTCCTCCTTTGCTTAGGCCTCCGTTAGAAGGCATCTTTTTTCTTTTTTCATCTAGGCAGGACCTCCTGTAGGGTAGGAAGCAGTTTCAACTCATCCTTCATTGTCCACCAACCAGACAGCCTATGGGAAGCTTTGTTCAGGCAGCTTTTGGGAACTGCTGTGGGAGGCTGGGGAGCTGAGGGCTGGCTGGCTGCAGGAAGGCTTTCCGAGATGGGCTGGTCCGATGCCAAGCTGGATGCTTCCAAGGACGGAAGCAAGTGACACATTAGGGTTTGAGATCTGTGCCCGATGTGTAAACAACCACAGGCCTTGATGAAAGGATTTTAAGTTTGGAACACATTAACTGAGCTCACCAGCAATACCATAGTTCCTTCTGCTGTAAGGAGCAGAAGGTATGCAAAAATCCCTAAAATAAAATAATATAAAATAAAAAATAAGGACAACTTAAAAGCAACACCTAAGGAAAAAAATGTCCTTCCAATTTTGAAAATACAAGTTTTCAAGGAAAGAAGGACATGAATGTGTTTTCTTCTTTTTGGTTGTCTAATAGTTTAGGTGGCATTAATCTTTTTAAAAAATATTTATTAGATATCTAGGATAAACTTGCTTTCTCAGAGCAGCTGACTTCTGAGCAGTTATTTATTAGAGATCCTGTAAGTTTTATTTCATATTTTTCTTAAAAAGCAAAATCAAGAAATGGATTTTTCTTAAAAAGCAAAATCAAGTGGAGCTTCACTATACCACACTGTTGGTATTATTTAGTAATAAAATCATATAATTTATAATTGAAATGGGAGTTTAACTATTTTATGGAAAAGCAACTTTATGAAAGGCAAAAGTATCAGTGTGTAGATGTGGGAAGGTGAAAAGAATTAGAATATGTGATGTCCGAGTACCAATTCCCCAGGATGAATGTAAGCATTACGTATTATAAACATGTACTAATGAAATTTTTAATTGTAAAAAAAAAAAATCGAAGTTCAGGAATTATACTTTTTGTTAAACTATACTTAAAATATTTAGTAACTAAAATTTTTTACATTGGGTTAAAACCACTTTAACATCCTGGTTATATTCTGTAATTGAGCAAAAATAACTATTCTAAAAACTCAGTCAAATTTAATCATAATACTTCCTTACTTTAGTTCGTAAGTTGGCACTCTAAATGCATTCTAAAATATCAGCTTGATTTGATCTTAAATAAGCAATGATGTGGGATTGTTTAACTGCTTACATAGATGACTGACTGCAGGAAATTTCTAAAGCAATGAGCAGTAGTAAAAAATAAGCTTGATTGAATCTTCTTATAAATGTTGTTTGAAAGTCTATTGAGCTACAATATAAATGAGGTTTTCCTTTTAAGAGATGGTAAACCGAGCCCAACATATATGAGAAGGGGGGGGGTAGCTATGGTTTTAAGAAATCATTCCTAATCTACAATTATGGGGGCTGTTTTTGAAGTATATTTTGGGGGGTTCATAATATAGAAATTTTTATCTAGGGGCTGGGGATTTAGCTCAGCGGCATAAGCGCCTGCCTTGCAAGCAGCCAGTTGTGAGTTCGATCCCCGGTACCGATAAAAACGAAAAAGACCAAAAAAAAAAACCAAAAAAAACAAAAAAAACAAAACATTATTTATAAAAAAAAAAAAAAAAAAAAAAAAAGAAATTTTTATCTGATCAAAATTGCTTTCATGTATAACTTAAATTTCTCTAGAATTGTATTTTCTTGCTTTTTAATTATTGAGGTTTTGAGAATAGGTTTTTTTTATCTAACTTTTTTTTAATGATTGTCTATATAAGAGTCAACCTCCAGAACTAAGAAAGAGAGAAACTTGCCTTGTAGTTCCTTGTACTGTTGAGAAGCTGTGATAAATTGTTTCAGCCTCATATAAATTAATGTAAGGTTTCCACACTTCAGTTTATTACAGTCTGACCTCCAACCCAGAGGTCAAAGAATCAGCCTGATTAATTCAACTTCTTGGTCATTACTTCAAATGAAAGTTCAGACTGGGGAGATAATTGGTTATGCTGATATTCACATTTAATTATACTTCATTGTTAAAGAATTAGGTTAGCAATGCTCAGGGTACTCTAGTGAAGGAAAACTCTACCAGATGTCCTCTTTTGATGCTTTACAGCTGAATCTGCCCCCTCTCTTTTATTCTCAGAATACCAACACCTTTGAGAACAGAATGTTAATGCTTGATGGGATGCCGGCAGTCAGAGTCAAAACAGAGCTTTTGGAATCTGAACAAGGGGTAAGCAGAAGTTTACAGTGATGCCAACCTCCTTCTCTTTCGCATCATGCGGTTCACATCCAGACCATCCTAAGACTTGCAAAACAATTCTGTTTGTTAGTTTGCTTGTTTGCTTGCCTATTTTTTTCCCCATTGCCTAAACTTTTCTCTCAAGTAAAAATCATTTGAGATTTTAGTTGATTCTCACCCAATTACAAGCTTGAATATAACTCTTTGGATAATGTGTTGAAATTAGAAGAGATAATGACCTTATAAGAACTATACTGTTATATATTTAAATGGGTGAATTTTTCAAAAGCTAGTAAAAATCCGAAGCAAAGAAGATGTACTAAGAAATAAGATGGGAATATAATCTTATTGTTAAGTAGCATGGTTCATTCTAAGTACACATATGGGAATGTTAATGTGTATTGAATGGGCTTTTCTTTTGACATTCATATTTACCTTTTTTAGTTCCATGAGGAATAGGGAATGGTTGATGAAATTGAGTTCAATGAATCTGAAATTTGCCTGAAAGCAAGAGAAAGGTTACTTAGAAATATGTACCAAATTGATGAGTTAATTTATGAGTATTTAAAATATAAGAGCAAAGATCCTTCTTAAGAACATAGGACATTTTATAATTGTTAACATTTATAGCTTCACTAATTAAAAGCATAAGGATAATATAATTGGTTGCAACATTGTTATGGAATATATATATATATATATATTGAGCTAGAAGCAGTTAGAGGTCTTTTCAGTGTCATTTTAAAGGATGTCATTTTTACTGTTCCGTTCTGCATTGATTTTTAAATTCTGAAATAATCCACAAAGTTCATGTGGACCAGTAGCACATCTCCATAGTTCTCTGCATGGTATAATGACAGACTTGTAAAGATTCAACCCAACACTGAGGGAGTAGAAAACATCATGAAAGAAAAAACTATGTACCAGTTACTACATTATTTGTTCATTGACAATTTTTTCAGAAAAAGTCATATGCTCACATGGATTTTCTAACTGGACTCATCCAGATAAACTCAATATATCTTCTATGTAGATGTAGTAGTTTCAGCCTTAACTAATTAACCTAACCACAGAGAAGATTCATTCTATTTCTTTAGCGTTCCAATGTCTCGTTTCATTTCTTCTTTTTGTTTGTTTGTTTTGTTTTTAAACGGGATCAAACTCACGACTGTCGCTTGCCAGGCAGGCACTTACGCCACTGAGCTAAATCCCCAGCCCCATCACTTCATTCCTTAAAATGTAGATGCATGAATTTAATAAAATAAAATTCTGCATAATGTTTAGAGATTAAGTCTCATTCAGAGAAAATAGTCATTTTTAGTGCTTATGGGAGGAGGGCAAAGTAGTCTCTATATTTCACAGTACTGCTTTTACTTCATAATACTTTGTTCAACTCAGATAGTAACAATCTGTTCAAACGTTTCATGTTGGAGGAAGACAAAAGCTACAGAAACACAGCAATCAAAAATTGTGGTATGGACCAATGGTCAAAGCCAGGATAGTGCCTTTCTGTTAGCTGCCCCTTGATATTTAATAGTATCCAGAGAGTTCTTTTTGCTTCTTTTTCCAGTTTTAGGGTAAGATTTGCCTGAAAGATTTAGGTGTTCATAAAATGAAGACCATCTTTTAAAGTGTGGCTAAGAACCCTGTATCACGTTATTCTGTGTCTTTAAACAGGGATAGGAAACATTGTGGGTTCTTAATGTTACTTAATTAATGGCTTTACATTAAAGTCAATTTTCTTTATTGTGAATGGAGCTGATATTAGTATTTTAACCCTAATTTAGCTTGTGTACATTGGAGCAAAATGGGATCTTTATTGTTTTCCTTAGTTGTCTATGTAATTCTTTTTTTTTTTTTTTTTTTTTTTGTCTTTCTCATTTTTATTGGTACCAGGAATCGAACTCATGACTGCACACTTGCAAGGAAGGCGCTTATGCCGCTGAGCTAAATCTCCAGCCCTGTCTATGTAATTCTTAAATATATGACAAATGTAATTTCATTCTTTTATGGAACAGCTTCAAGAGAAACAATCTGCATTCTGTACTGAAAAGTATTAGAGCTTAATGTTTGATCACAGTATTAATAATTTGTAATATTTTACAGCTGCAACTTAAAATAGGAAATAAAATCTAGAATTTCAGTGATTTTCATTTTTGACTACTTTGGGTTTTTCAAAATGGTGATGGAGTAGATGTTGTCTACCATATAATTTTGGAATGTTCAGACCTGTTTTTGAAGACATAGGTCTAAAATTCTAATAATAGAGTTTTTTATACCTAAAGATTGTTTGAAGTTTGATTCTTTATAAGAAAATATAAACTTGCTAGTGAAATTTAAGTAATCACATATTTTGAAAAAGATAAGACATGTTTTTGAATAAAAAATTACAGAAACTTGACTATGTCTCAGCAGTGAATACGAAAACCTGAAGTTGATACATCAACAGAATCTGTAATCACTCTGAAAAATCTAAGTTAAAGACCCTGGCCTTAAAACAGACGTTAAACTTCAGTCTTCAGGAAAGAAAATTGATGTTTCTTTCAGGCTGCAGGCAGTGTTTTAAAGATAGGCCTTCTGTTTCTGTGCACTATGGAGGTATGTTTGTTTCCTCTTGCTTATTATAAATAGGCCTTCAGGTCTTCTTCTGTCAGCTGGTGTCTGCATGTCTCCTGCCCTTCCAAGGAATTCCGGACCTAACGCGCACGTTCCAAGGGTTAAAGCAAGACCGTAGACCAGACCAAGTCTCTTATCTGAAAAATTCTGCTGCAGTGCGCTATTTCACTTTAACAGGTTTTATGGTTGTATGTATATGGTTGTGTCTCTTCAGTCAGACTGAGATCTTTTAGAGGGTGAAGGCTGGTTTTTACAGTTTCCCTTGTATCTTGTAATTCCTGGTATATGGGAGGTGCTCTGTAAAGACAAGATTTCACTTATCTTGTCTACAGACTATCACTACTATGGCAGGTAAAGTATAAAACTCATTAATGGTTGGCTGTAAACCTAGTTTTCCTGCTTCATGAAGCTCTTGTGAACGTACAAGTCAAGTTGGACATACAGGAAACATCCTCACTGTGCTGGAGGCTTCTTCCTATGGCCATGCAATGCAGTTAAGTATTGTAGTAGTTCTGAAAACCTTCCCTCTGGAGCTCTCTTTTTTCATGATTTTAGTTATAGGGTCTCTAGGTAGATTATCAGTAGTGTTTCCTGAAATATGACTTGAGTTTTCTTGTGGCTTGTCAGTAATCCAGCACATGCTGCTAAGCAGGCTGCAGGAAGAGTCTGTACTCTTGTGATATGCTTCAGGGGCACAGTGAGGAACATTTGAGTGACTTTGTCTGTGACCTTCAGTACTCATGCCCTGCTGTTACTAGAGCTTCCCAAATGCTGTCAGTCTTTGGATGTTCTAACGTGTTATTAACCGAAGAACTACAGCAGGAAGAAGAGATTTGGAACTATTATATCCAGAGATAAGGCAGATGGGGGAAAGGGCACTGCCTCAAAGACATAAAACGTGATTTTTACTGCTGGCCCTGAAGCCACTAGCTTGAATGACTTTGGAAAGTTCCTGCCTGTCTCCAGGCCCTTCAGTGCTTATCCATGCAGTAAGGGTGTTGGAGACAAGCCCTTCCTTCTCAGGTTTGCGATATTCTTAAGATTCCAGAAAAGGGCAAAGAGAAAAAGCATTTCTAATCAGGAGTATAATGATCATACTACCATGACCTGTTTGTGAAAGAAAAGCCACCCAGTGTCCTGAGTGGGACAGCTGTAGTTCAAATACTTGTTCAGCCAAGACAGCTGTGTAGGTGAGCCTTAGTCTCTGTCATCTTTCTTCCCCTTGGCCAGGAAGTGGAGTTAACTGCCCAGAATCAAAGGAGGCTGCTACATGTGGTAGGTGGAAAACAAATATTTGTCTTTGGAAGAAAAACAAGGGGAAAGCCTCCGTTGTTTCCATTTCTGTTCCTGCAGTTTTCCTGAGCTATTTAGCAGAGATTTCAATGTCTGTTATCACTCTGTAATTCTATAGATAGTTTTAAGGTAAATATTTTTTTAATTTGAATATTTTAAAGTGTCCCTGCAGAAATATTTCAAATTCTGGTGAGACGTAGTATATAAAAAAATAGAATCAAAAGGAAAATGGGAAAATAACATATAAAAAAGATAAAGTTTTTTTGTGTGATAATAGAGTTTGACCACATTTTCTAAAATGAAGTTCTGAGTTCACATCTTACCTCTTGAAATATTTACAAATGAAATGATAAAGATATCTGGAATTTGCTGTAAAACAACACAGGAGAGAAGAATGCATATGAGTAGAGATGAAACAAGAGTGGTTGTGATTCCCTCATTATTGAAGCTGGGTGATGGGCACAAAAGGAGTTTCGTTTATTCTGCCTAATTTTATGTATGTTCAGGATTCTTTAAAGAAAATGTGTAAAGAAGAAAACAATTCTTTACAAAAATATGAGAAAAGACTTACATAGGTACATCAGCTTTCTCAGAGGGATGAAAGAGATACTTCTTCCTTCCTAAACCCTGCACATCTGCCGGCGGGGAGGAGTAGTCTCTGACCAGCAGCTGGAATGCTGAGCCCTTGTTACCCTGCCTTCTCTAATAGGGTCCCATAGAGAAGAGAGGCACTAGTGTGTTAGAGCGACGCGGCAGGAGAGAATGGCTGGTTGCTCAGTTTCAAGTGCTGTAAGTAGCCAGTGACTGATGGTAAGAGGCCTCTGTGTTTGACCCATGGAGGAGAAAGGCTAAGGCTCCTGTTGCCACTGTCATGTAGCTAGGATGGTTACTGGCATTGAACTTGACTGGTACAGGTTCAAAGGATACCCTTTCTTACTGTCTGGGAATCTTAGCCTGCCCTGCAGCAGACCCCTGTGAGTGCCCACTTGTTACAAATAAGACAAAACAATGAGTTTTTTTCTCCCCTTATGGCAGCTTGTAGTGACTTTACACATCATTCTGCAGGGCATTCGTAAGGTTGCATTGAGGACATTCCTGATTTCAAAGAGCTGACTAGCATCATGAAACAGTTCTAATGGAACTTTCTGAAGAGGAGAATTTAAGCATTATGCTTCTTATTACAGAACATCATCTCAGCCCAGGAGCTCATGAATAGTCAGGGCTCAATAAATTGTGATTCACTCAAATACTATTTATTGTAAGTGAGGGCCTGTTTGCCACACTGTGGAATGGGAAGGATTTTGAGACTCGTACTGTTTTGAAAGATTCCAATCCTTAGTCTTAATAAAGAAGTATAGACAGGTGCAAGTATTGTATGCTTTTTTTTTTTTGGTACTGGGATCGAACTCATGACCTTGCACTTGCCAGGTGCTTACTCCACTGAGCTAAATCCCCAGCCCTGCAGTGCTTATTTAAGACAGGCAATTACATTAAAATTCAGTAGCTTTAAGGGGAAAACCAACAACAAACTTATTCCCTCAACAAAGCTCTCTGTTTAATTTTACATTAAAGATTTAGTGTACATCTGTGTGTAAGGCTTAGTAAGACACTGTTACTTTAATGCTTTCATCAGAAGGGAAGAAATGGCATTTATTAAAATGCCACTTATATTACCCTTTAACAGGGCCTCATTATTTCCCCTCCTACTGTGGAACAGGGGCCAGCGCCACTGGTAAATTGGTAGAATTATCTTGGAAATAAGAATTTGCTTATCATTTAATATTCTCTGATGACCCACTGCTTGGGATCTTTTGATCTGTAGTGAAATCTTTGCTTGTCACTACCTGACTTCAAAGAAAAACATATGCAGAAGCTGTGATTTTGCTAATGTGAAGAGACCACTATTTTTTTTTAAAAGCAGAAAATATCTGCACTTGCAGAACTCATGTTTTAGGGAAGAGATACCCTCTACTAGAGATGCAGAGTTGGACTGATTTTAATAATGTCAGCATGGCCAATAAATGTATTAATAGAAAGAATTGAAAATCAATGAGCTGTGATAGTAATTACAGATAGTACCCAAGGGAAATATAGCAGGCAGACAAATCCTTTCCCTGAGGGCCTGCCCTGGGCACAGCTATGAAGTTGATAATTCTGCCTTTCCTCCTCCTCTTAGCAGTGTGCTTGCTTCTTCAGCTTGATTCTCTTGTCACCTGCAGTCCTAATACTCTGATGATCTCATTGTGCTGTAATGATTCAAAGTACCTAGAGATGACCAGTTGTAACTGTAGTCTCACTAAATGAGGAGAACATAAAATGCTATTCTTTCTGAGAGTTATTTGCATTTTTATAGGGTCAGTGCTTTGTAAAAAGGAATGCTTCTTAAAGAAATTTCATGCTCTGAATAATTTGAGGATTTTGAGTTGAGGCAAATTAACCTTTCCAGAATGTTTCAGTTTATATAAGCCCTGATCTACTTTGTCTACTTGTCTTTGGGGTAGAAGAAAAAATGTGCCCACACCATGAGGCATGCATTTCTATTTGGTGTTTTCTTGGGCTAACATTTGCATGCTGATTTACAGTGCTTCACAGGAACAATCCTATTAACTCTTAGAGGAGTTTTACTTCTGAGCATGAAGGATGAATAGCTGTGGAAATTGATCTCCAACCATAAACAACTAGAAAACCAAGAAATGTACATGAAAAGTTTGTCACATATTGGGCGGCTGGGTAGCAAGCTTTGGAAGAGCTAAAACATCAGGCCGGCTCTGGTGGTATCTCAGCCTGCTGCCTGGAGGTGGTGTCCCAAGAGTGGACTCTGACAGGGTGTGGCATTTTCCTTGAGTTAATCAGAGATTGGAATTGGAAGAGGTGAGAGCAACTCACTTGTAAAGGAACAGTATTATAGAGGAGGGAGTTATACAAAGAGAGATTTGTGGAGGTGTTTGGGAAGGTCCCCGTAAGCATTGGCTGAGTAACTGTCTTCCAGAGGATTGAGAAAGGCAAGGAAAGACCTCTGGAAGCAATGGGCTAAACAGTTCTTGGGAGCTCACATAAAGTTCACTCAAAGAAGAGTGGAGAGATTTCTTCACCTGTGCTCTGTTGGGGACAGACCATAGAAGGCTCACAGCTTCGTGATGGGTTTGGATACAGTTAATCCCAGAAAATTTGCATTTGAATGCAACATAACAAATCGTAGAAAGAACTACAGAAAGAGCTATATGATCTGCAAGTCTCACTCAACTGGGTATCAGAATAAAAATCTCCTCCAGAGAAATACAGCAAAGTCTGGTGCTTAATAATGTCAAAATCACATTCAGTAAGATGTCTGACATTCAGTAAGAATTACCAGATATACAAAAGATGAGAAAAGTATAACATAACTAAATTAAAAAATCAATACGAACTCATCCAGATATGACAGAAATAATGAATCAACCTTAAAGTACCTGTATCTTATAAATACACTTAAGAATTTGAAAGAAAACATGAATGATTTGAGAAAAGATTAAGAATTAAATAGAAAAAGTAGATATAAAAGATATCTGAAACTTTTAAAATAACATGGATTGCATTAGTATGCTGTGCAGAAGAAAACGTCACTGTGAATACATAGCAGTAGAAATCATCCAAAATATGACACAAAGAGAAGTAAAAATTGAAAATAAAGAATAGAGCCGTAGTGAGCA